TTAATAGTTACTGGTTAGTTAACTGCCTGTCACCGGCCTCTCGGCACTTTACCGGTTGGTGACTTGTCTGCAGAGGAGAGTGGTGAATGGAGCAAGCAGCACAAGCGATGTCAAGACTGCAGGTGATCTCACCCCCTTCGTTTTCATACGTGTGCACGCGCCACTTCGTTCTGCGAATGCGTCGAACGAGGACAACGAAACGCTGACGGCCTCTAAAGAAACCCCCGATTTGCGATCCCTTAGGCGAGATGTCCTGTTCCAACGTCCTAACGCACGCCGCCTCCCCGGTGGTGACACCTGTATGGGGTGAGGATCGTTCCCGGGAGCGTGGCTGCGGGTGGTAGCAGGTGGGAAGGGGTTTCTGGGTTCCTCTGAAGCCTTGCAAGATTGTTGCCTTTTACCCCTGCGGTTTCCTTCTAAAATGAAATGCTCAGTGGTGATGTCAGTGGCTAATACTCACATTCTGTGACCGAAAATACAGGTTTCGCTGCAAAATAAATGCAACTGTTAACTGTACGATCTTCATGTAAGAAACAATATACCTGTAAACTTTTTGTACTTTTATTTCATGATATTAAAATAGTAAAACTAAGCAGTTGTGGCAAACACCCGTTTTTGTGCATATTTCTTTGTGTGAGCAAGCCATGAATCCGGTGTGTGATCTTCCCGAAGGTTTCCCTCCCTCGGTGGGGGTCAGGGGGCTGAAAAACTGCAGCCGAAGCAGCAGCCAGGAGAAACGTGGCTGGAATGGAACAGGGGCTGTGAGTCAGCACATCCCAACCGTGAACACAGCGACTGCTCCGACGGCGCGTGGCTGCGGGAGCTGCGGGGAGGGGGATAAAGCAGGTGCATCCTTACCGCCCGTCAGCGCGCTCACCCGTGTCCTTCGTGTGGGGCGATGCTCTGTGTTCCCGCAGGGAAATGTGCGGATCGACCGGGTTACCTGGCTAAGGGGTGTCTGCCTGCTGCGACGCGGCGCAGGCTGCTTCTCCCTTTCTTTGTAAGAGCAGTGGAGCGACGGGAAAGGCAGCTGCAAACACGTCCTGACTCCTCTTGCAATTTTTGCTGCAGTTTGGGTTAATGAGATCCTGACAGGCTACGGCGCGCTCCCTGCCTCCCTCGGGATGGGCCGAAGGCAGCAACTGCCGCGCTTTGTTGTGCACAATGAAACCACCAGTTAAGCGTTTCTGCACGAGCAAAATAAGTGACCTAATGCTGGGGGAGGGCAGGGGGGACAGCGTTAGAGCTGGAGCTGCTGGGAGATGGCTGTGGCCATCACAGCTCCTGGTTTGGGTGGCTTTTTGTTTCATACAAAGTAAATTAAAAAAAAACCCCAAAACTAATAGAGAAGAACTCAAGCTTCCCTGTGAAGGATCCTTGTCCAGTATTGCTCTGTCCTTTGCTGTTTGGTCTTTGTTACCTTGAGTAAGAACAGGTCAGTCTGCGGAAGCTGGTGTAGCTACACTGACCCTACTCCTGCCTGCTGCTGCTGCAGGGAGCAGGGGCTGGGGCTGGGGTTTTGGCTTTGCGATGGAACGGCCGGTGTTTCTGTAGGTGCCCTGGTTTCTCTCAGCAAGGCAGCTGGCTGGCGCTGAAGGGCAACGCAGGAGCCTTCAGAGAGAAACGCGTGGTGGGTCCCGTTGCATGGAGCACTGGGGTTTTGCTGACGCTGGCACACGAGGCTGCCAGTGATGGGGGGAGCAGAGGGGGTACAGGCAGTACTCAGCTTACGGATACAGGATGGTGAGGGGGGGAAGAAAAAAACCCACCGAAGTTTCTTTACAAGTTTTAAATTTCACATTATCACAGAGTAACCATTTTGCTAAATACAAGCAGATTTTCAGTCGCGTACAGACAGCTAAATACAGCATTATTTTCACATTTCGTTACAGCGCATAACAGAAAGCGAGGAAACTGTAGAGTATGCTTTTATTCTGGAGGTTCTGCGCAGTTGCAATCTAACATGCAGATTGTTTTTAACGTGTGGCAGTGACCACAGAAAGTTAGCTTTTCCTTTTTTTTTTTTTTTTCCTAGGGTAAAAGAGCTCCTGACCTTTATCCTGTGAAAGGTATCACCTGCTCATGTCTCTAAATCCCTCTTGCACTAGAAGTCAAAGCATTAAAACCAGTTGTTAGAAAAGAATTCTTAGCATATCCTGTAAGTTCTTCATCTTAGAAAAAACATTCCAAATTTTGTACAGATGAATCTACATTTCCTATATTTTAAGAAGCTGTCTAGAAAATGCAAGGAATTAGAAAAAAGATGTATATAATGATTTCTCTATCATTTAATATAACCATTTATTACCTCTAAGTAGTTAAGCCTGCGTACATTTGCTTCTGTATGGTTCCTCTTTAGAATCAGGACACTTGGATTTTTCAAATCGAAGAAGGCCTGAATGCACTTACTTATTTAGGCTCTACGGAACTTCCCTCTGGGAGCAGCGAAGGGCAACGGCCAAAACCCATTAAATAAAATACTGGTTGCTTCGCAAACAGCGGTCGCTCCCCTGCTGGCCAGGTGCCTGCACAGAGAATTGCAGAATTTTACCATTGCTGAAACGCCATTTGCCCCACCTCCTAACTGCCGTTAGCGGAGCGCTGCGGCTCCGCGGCCCTCAGCCAGGCATCCCGGGCCAGGCCTGGCCGGCCTGCGGCTGAAGGACCTGAGCCTGCTGAGCTCGGGTGGCCTCGCCCCTGGGGACACGCAACTGACACAGACCTGGCCACAGCAAACCTCGCGCTCTCCACTGGTGTCAGCCCACGGGAGCCCACGGCAGCCCAGCTCCTGTGGCGCTCGCTGCATCAATCTTCTCCGGCTTTGCTTACCTAG